CTTTTCTGAAATATCTAATTTGGAGCATTTCTAATCATAAACTTTAAAATATAAGGAAAACATAACTATATTTGGCAAGCTATAATATATATTTTTTATGTATTGCTCATATCATATATTTATGTATTCTTATGTATTTTATGTAATCGTTCCATTATTTGCACCTCTTAAGAGGTAGATTTTAAATATTGGAACATCTGCCATGGTTCGAAAGAAATATTCCAGAAATCCAATTTTTGGATTGAGGTGCATGCTACTCTGCTTGGATGAGACGACAACCTCTCCCCCCCACCGCTGCCGCCTGCCAAGGTCCTGTTAATGTGTAAATATCGCCAACCGTTCAACATGTTTTTAGGAGTCTTTGAATAAGGCTTAGTGAAGGTACTGATAAATCCAAAGGACTTTAAGTTAGAGTCCTGCCTTTCAGGATCTAAGAATTTAGTTGGAAAAAGAAGACATGTTTGCAAATTGCCTGACAATTAAAAACAGTACAAGATGTAAAACTGAATCATTGTGCTATACACCCGAGACTCACATAGCTCTGACATGAACTATACATCAGTAATAAAAGTGGATGGCGATGTGAGAAGGCACCGCTTCTACTGCAATTCAGCCTGCATTGACTTCTTCACGAATAATCATTCATTCAACAAGTATCCGTTGAGTATTTATGCTTGTGTGGTCCTTAGGGTTTCTCTCCACAGAGAGTCTAACAGGGAACATGAGACCTCTAAAATTAGTTGTAATACAGAGAGGAAAAGGAGAAGGGCCATGGGAAAGAGAGAGAAAAAACTAAGACTCAGAGAAGTAACTGATTTCTGTTTGAAGAAAGCAGAAGTCGTGTCACGTCATCATCGTTAGAGCTTGAAATGCACAGGGTTTGGATACAGAAAGGTGGAGGAAAATGCCTTGCAGATAGAAGCCACTATGCAGAAATGAAAAGGTGTGAGGGATGTACTGGGTACTGCTGACTAGGACAAGGATACATTAAGAGAATTCATGGAAGAAACATTTGCAGAAATATCTGGGGGACTATCTTGGACAAGGATCACATTGACCTTTAGAGTTCATTATAAGTTTTATAGGCACTAGGAAGCCATTTGGGTTTTCCAGGAATAAAGTGACATGTTCAGAGCTATGTTTCAGGAACATTGAATTTGGTGACTCTGTGAGGTCCCATCTAAAACTTTTTCTCAAGTCTGTGTAAAGCCTGTATCAGTGGATTCGCTTAAAGCAAAGTCTATAGTAGATGTTTTGGCTGTTCTCGTGTAGACCTGCCCACTTATATTATTCTTATTGCTGTAAGTCTAAATCCTTGTGCCCACTTTGAACCTCAGTCATAGAACTTTGCCCTGGATATTCATATGTCTTCCTGTGAGGTTAGATGAGAATGTTCTCTCTATCCTCAGTACTTTTCTTAAGCAAGTTTTTTGAGCCTAAAAACACCCCAAATCATGTAATTGATGTTTCCCTCTGTGTGCTTGCAGCAAGGTAATTTAGAGCCAGATGTAGACCCTGCTTTAAAAATGTGTAGAGACTTCCGTGATGGTCCAGCGGTTAAGAATCTGCCTTCCAGCACAGGGACAAGAGTTCAGGCCTTGGTCAGGGCAGTAAGACCCCACGTGCAGTGGGGCAGCTGAGCCCACATGCCGCAGCTAGAGAAAAGCCCCCACACCCAGCAGAAGGTCCTGCATGCCACCGTGAAGACCTGGCACCACCAAACAAATACATACTTTTTAAATAAAATGAAAGATCCTTTTAAAAACTAAAAAAAAAAAAGTGTAAAACCATGGAGCAGAAATTCATCCACTCATCTCATATTTGGCTTTATCTTTCCCACTTTCAGTTTTCTTTTATTCTGTTGTCTTCTCTGACAATGTTAAATTTTATTTTATCCCATTATGCTTTATAAACATAATCTATCTAAAAGAAGTTGGTATAGATAAATACGTGCTCCAGCTACTTCTCACGTCCTGTAAGCTGGAATCTTTAGAACTAGCATTGACCTCCAGTCGCATCCTCAGATTTTGCTTCTGTTTGTGGTCTGCTGCAGAATTTAAATGTCTGGCCATCCATTCCATCTCGCTCAGACTCTGTACTTAGCCTGTTCCGTCACATTTTGAATTGAACCTAGCTTTCATTATCTGGGTTTGTTTCACTGGTAGTGAGGTTTCCGTGGTGGTTCAGTGCAGGAGACATGGGTTCAATCCCTATGTTGGGAAGATCCCCTGGGAAAGGAAATGGCAATCCACTCTGGTATCCTTGCCTTGAGAATTCCATGGACAGAGGTGCCTAGTGAACACCCACTGTTTATTTAAGTATATTAAGTGTATTTCTAAGTATATTAAACCTCAAGAAACTAACATAAAATTGTAACCCAACAATACTTTTATGAAAAATTTAAAATTATTTTAAAGTTAAAAAAGAATAAGAATATTAAATTCAACATATTGAAATATATGATGATAATAGATCTTAAATCTTTTCATGTTTCAATAACAATATTAATAATAATTTACCATTAACAGGGTGCTTTTACCTGTTACTGGTTTAGCAGATCCTTGAAACATAAAAGCTTGATAAATGTCTATGGATGAATGACTAAGTGTGTGAATAAGTGGATGAATGCGTACATTTCACTGAATCCTTAGATTGTACTAATACCTCTGTGGGGCGGTATTATTTCCCACATTACAGATGAGGAGACGGAGACTCACTATCATGATGCCTGACAGAGTTAGGAAGTCAAATTGTTATCCTGACCTCTTTCTCAGCATAGTATAATATCTGATGTATCATTTATCCTGTGTAACCCATCTAGAGTATAATTCCATTCTTTCACAAAGCTGTACTTAAAAACATGGAGTCATTTGCCATGTTCCTCTACTTCTTTTTAGGCACAGTCTTAATACTTTTCTTTTGAAAAGTATTTCATTACGAGGCCAACCTAGTTTAGGCTCTCATACTGTAGCTTATTATATCGTCCTTTATAAGCATTTTCTTGAAATGTTCCTTGAAGACCTCTGTAGCCATTCTGATCATACGCACTGATGCTGGGAACAGCAAAGCTAATTAGTTAAATGATGTGCTTACGAGCACGCTAAGTCCCTTCAGCTGTGTCCGACTCTCTGCGAGCCCATGGACTGGAGCCCACCAGGCTCCTCTGTCCATGGGATTCTCCAGGCAAGAATACTGAAATGAGTTGCTATTTCCTTCTCCAGGGGATCTTCCCAACCCAGGGATTGAACCCACATCTCTCTTCCGTCTCCTGCATTGGCAGGCGGGTTCTTTACCACTAGCACCACCTACCTGAATGGTAAATCTTCCAGGAATTTTAAACCATCCTTTCTTTTTCTTACCCAATTAAAACCATGTTTGTATTGTAACCCTGCCATTCCTTCAAAGGTTGATTCACTTTAACTGATATTTGAACACCCATAATTTTTCATGAGCAGCAGACCAATGGGCCAAGTAAAATTTCTGTAGTTTCTAGTATGGGAATCTTTAAGAAGACTGCAAGGAAGCGGCTCTGTTTCATGGATTTAAGTGTGATTTCTGTCCTTCAAGAGTAAGAAATTATTAGTTGTTAAATGGTATGATATGTATTATTAGGGACCACTGGAAACATGCAGTAATTACTAATATTATATACTATGGGAGGAGTTATTTTAATTGTCGTACCCTGTAAAGAGATTTGATAATATATAGTCACACTTTTAACCTGTCATGTATTCATTCCATGCAACCAGAATTATAATGTTTGACTATGTTATTTGGCTTAGCAGTCACTGCTGGAGTTCACATTGTATATGAAAGATAGTCCCTACGTTTCCTATTCTCTTTTAATACGTGCATTTATATTAATAGCATGATTTAATACATCACTTCAAAATTATATTGCACTTTGAACTGCATTTAGTCAAAAATTGACATCTTATGTGCGCAGAACCATAATAAGTTTAGCATTAAATTAAGGAGTCATCTGTCTGTTGGCTAAAATGTAGTGTTTGTGAATTCTGGCATGTCCAAAGCTAGGTAATGAGATTGAGATGTGGGTCTCAGATGTTGCATTCATTTGTGCATTTTAACTTATGGCTTATTAGCTTGAGGGAGTTTTTTGCCCAGCTACAGCCTACTGTTGTATTTATATTTTGAAGTTGCTGGATCCGTTAGGATTCTGGCTTGTAACAAAATATTCGTACCACTGACATAGTGACATGAGTCATTGTGGTCACCTATGACTTACTCCAAAATGTACTTCTACTGCATACTGTGAAATTGGAAAATCTGTTCTGTGTGTGTTCTAATGGATGTAACGGTCATTAAGTATATGAGTCTTCTGACGTTGTAATCAGCTGTGATTCAGTCTGTTAAATATCCATGAAACAACATCTGCTTCACAGAGTGACCTTCTGCTAAAGAATACTTAGCGTCTATTAGTAGATCACAGTGCAGATCTGCCTTATTTGAAATGCACTAAACTAGAGTACTTGACTACTGTTTAGCAACGAGCTTGTAATAATTTATTGCAGTTAAATAAAGCTTAAAAAAACTCCATTAAATAATTATAGGGATTATATGCATTTCCAAAACCTTTGTGTTCTACTGAAATTACCCATTTAATTTCAGGGTTGGTTTGTTAAAAAAAAAAAAAAAGCTGAAATGTAAAGGCACATTAGGGGAGCTGTCAGATGCTGTTTTCTGTAGGTGTTAATAAAACCAGATGAAAAAAAAAATCTGAAACAAATTGAAACCAAAAGCAATTTTACCATCTGTTGTAGATTAATTAGAACTTTGCGTATCAAGGGTAAACTTGCTCTTAGAGAATGTCACTGAACACCCGCCTAATAGAATAATATGCAAATATATTAGGTAATGGATTTCTATGCTGTTTTTAATGCTAATGGATCTATGGTGGGTCCCCAAGAAATTGGTAGTGTGTATAAATGTGTATGTACACATACACATATATATAATGAGTTTCCTTTTCTTTTTTTCAGAGCAACCTGCAAACAACCAAGGCCAGTCCACCCTCCAGCCTTTGCCACCTTCCCATAAGCAGCACTCCGCACAGCATCATCCATCCATCACTTCTCTCAATAGGAATTCCCTGACCAATAGAAGGAACCAGAGTCCGGCCCCGCCGGCTGCTTTGCCCGCCGAGCTGCAAACCACACCCGAGTCCGTCCAGCTGCAGGACAGCTGGGTCCTTGGCAGTAATGTACCACTGGAAAGCAGGTGAGTCCTGAAGGGGAGACTTGCGGAGGATGTGACTGTTCAGACCACACAGTGTACCTGCTTGGAGAATGCATGTTTGACAGCGGTCAACAAACCGTGATTTTTTAGCATCTGAAATGGGAAGATAGCTGGTCCAACCCTTTCCTCAGTAAGAGAGATTTACTTTTTTTTTTTAAATTGGGGTACAGTTGCTTTACAGTATTGTGTTAATTTCCGCTGTACAGTGAAGTACATCAGGTGTATGTATGTGTGTATTTGTATATATCCCCTGGCTCTTGAGCCTTCCTGCCCACCCCAATCCCACCCCGCTAGGTCACCACAGAGCCCCAAGCTGAGCTCCCAGTGCTATAGAGCAGTTCCCACTTGCTGTCTGGTTTACACACTAGTGTATATATGTCAGTCCTAACCTCCCAATTCATCCCTCCCTCTTCTCTCCCCATTATGTCCACGTGTCCGTTCTCTGTGTCTGTGTCTCTATTCCTACCCTGCTGTTAGGATCATCTGCACCGTTTTTCCAGATTCCGCATATATGAGTTAATATACGATATTTGCTTTTCTCTTTCAGACTTCACTCTGTATGACAGACTCTCGGTCCATCTACATCACTACAAATACCCAATCTCATTCCTTTTTAGGGCTGAGTAATATTCCTTTCTGTGACATCTTCTTTATCCATTCATTTGTCAATGGACATTTAGGTCGCTATTATAAATAGCGCTGCGGTGATCACCAGTGTGCATCATTGTTGAGTTATGGTCTTCTCAGGGTATATGCCCAGTAGTGGGATTGCTGGATCATATGGTAGGTCTATATTTAGTTTGTTAAGGCGCCTCCGTACTGTTCTGCATAGTGGCTGTACCAGTTTACCAACAGTGTAAGGGGGTTTCCTTTTTTCCACACTGTTTGTCTTCTCTAGAAACAGGACCACATTATTGGTGCTCTTTTGGTTGTTGGGGCAGTGCACTTTGACATCCTTTTCCCACTTTGTAGTCTATGAGAGATAAGTAAAAAGGGCTTCAGTGAAACTTCTCCTTGCTACCATTATTTTTCTTATCTACAGATTCTCAGATTCTCAGGCATGTGGGAAAAAAGGGATAGAGATATAAGGGTGATTATTCTCAGTCCCAGGATGCAGTGATTATATTGTGCATCTACTGGGTTCTAGATGCCCCTGATTCTCATAGGCCCCATTATGTCCATTGCATCCTAAAATCATGGTGGACTCCCACAGATGATGCTTCAGCATGAGAAAGATGACCATTTGCTAAGGATATTTTAGTTTCTTGCAATGTGAGGGAGATTTCAAGTTCCTTCCAGCATTATTCCCATTCGTGCCTAGACCATGCTATTAGGAAAAGCTTCCTTACGATGAACTGAAGTTCTGTTCCTGAAACTCGCTTCCTCCGGTAGTCATCGTGCCGTTGGGAATGTGTAATTCCACAAAACCGTTTTGCCCCATCTCTATACCACGGCCCATGGGCCACTCTTGGTCTTCCCTTTTAGAAGCTTCACCAGCTTGATGCTTTTTCTCCAGCACATGCTGATGTTTCCATGAGGTTCTTAACAAGTATGAGTTCTACCACAGCTTGGCCCGCAGTTAGCAACCTGCTCACACAAGAATATAGACCAGCCAGAGCTATTTTGAGCTAATCCATTTCATTTTTCAAATGTCTCCAAGTACGAAAAATCTTATCTTCTTCCTTCAGTCAGGACCTCAACAGTCAGCATCTCCTTAGAACTATGTATCACACAAGCAAAGGCGGTGGTGTCTTACCTCACGGGTCTCCTACTGGCAGCTTTGCAGCACAGTTTCCCTAAAACTCCTGGTAGTGTTTATTTTTTTCCCTGCCCTAAGCTTCTAGTAGCGTCAGAGAAAAAACTCATCCCCCCATAGAGCCAGAAACCAGAGGATGCTGAGCCTCCTGGGAGAATGTTCCCCCAGTGTCCTGCCCTGTGGAGCCCCTGGCTAATGTCAGCTTTAAAAAACAAAAAAAAAACACAGACACAAATAATGATTTACTTATTTATTTTTGGTCGCACTGGAAACTCGTTGTCGTCCCAGGGCTTCCTCTGGTTGTGGTACATGGGCTTCTCATTGCAGTGGCATCTCTGGTTGCAGAACGCTGGTTCTAGGGTGTGTGGGCTTCAGTAGTTGCTTCATGCGGGTAAATAGCTGTGGCTCCCAGGCACATCCAGAGCTGTGTCTCTTAGGCTCAGCTGCTCCGAGGCATGTGGGATCTTCCCGGATCAGGGATGAACCTGTGTCCCCTGCATTGACATGCGGATTCTTAAGCACTGGACTACCAGGGAAGCCCTAAAAGTCAGCATTTGCATTAGCTCCTGAATGAAAAAGTGGGTCTCACAGTGAATAAACTGTTTTTTGCCATTAATTGTGTGACCTAAAGCAGTTCTACCCTGAGGACAAGCAAGCAGGAGGTGCTCACAGTTAGTTGTCAACAATACAAATCTTTCTGCTTTTTCCTTTTACTCTTGAACTAAGAACAGGTTCAAAAAGAACCCTTTTTGTCTGTAGTGTCAGCCAAGAGTAGCTGGGTTTTATCATTTATTTTATATTATTGAGCACTCTTCCTGGAGCAATTAGGAAGAGATTACAGAAGAAGTAGGCAAGCGGCAGATTTCTTCACTTAAAGACAAAGAGTCACGTGCACACATTTTTTTTCTTCCTGAGGTTATTAGCACAGTGTCATTTAAATTTACCCAGTGTCATTAATTAGCACACACTAAACAACTAATCAACACTGATTCACTGTTGTCATTTGGAAAAAAATAATTTATTAGGAAAAAAGTAATTTTCTAGCTGAGACATCAAATTGAATATGGATAATTGCATTGTAGTTGACAATAAGTGTCTTGACAAATATTTATGAAATGTGACAAGTTAGGTCATCAGAAATGTGTTTAATTGGGGGGATGTGGTAGTTAGCACAAAAGCCTCAAAAACTGGTGATAGGAAAGATGGTATTCCTTGAAGCCATATCTTTTTTTTTTTCCCAGTTAATTAATCTGTTTATTTTTGGCTACTCTGTACTTCGTTGCTGTGCTCGGGCTTTTTCTGGTTGTGGTGTATGTGTCTCAATTGCCGTGGTTTCTCTTGTTGCGGAGCACAGTCTCTGGAACATGAGCATCAGTCACTGCAGCTCCTGGGCTCCAGCTCAGTAGCTGTGGTCCACGGGCTTAGTCGCTCTGCAGCATGTGACATCTTCCTGGATGAGGGACTGAACCCATGTCCCTTGCATTGGCAAGCATCTTCTTAATTCCTGACCTCCAGTGAAGTCCTGAAGGCTTAATTTGAAGCACAGATATTTGGGGTCATTGGAGGGAAATATACGGTGTGTTCTTATTATTCCTCATATTGTGCTAATGAATATTTGTTGTTGGTGAGGGAGAAAAGTGGCTCTTTAGAAGAGAACCCATGGTTGCTATATGTGAAATTGTAACTGATTTCTCCAAATTCAGGCCATATAAGAAATCACTCTCAGAGCAATTTCAAAGCTGTGCCATTTGAAATTCCATTTCAAAGCAGCACTGCTCATGAACCATCAATGGAATTACATTTAATAGTTTATGAATTGACAAAGGAAGAAAATGTACTAGTTGATGTTCTCACACACATATATAGAAAGTATAATGAATCTAGACAGTGTACATCATGCTAAAATATTTTAATCTGTAGTAGGGTTTTGTTCATTTCTCCTTTTCCAGTGTTCACACCTTATAATATTACTGATCAAAAGAAATGGCATTTCAACTTGCAGGCACTCGGTGAATCAACCTAAGCGGTGGTGAGAAAATTTCACACCATACTGACACAGGGCCACTGTGGTTTCTTTAATAGTCTCACTTGGTTGGAACTCTTGAGGTGAAGAACCAGGCTTATTTATCATTGATTTTTCCTTTTTTAGTTAAGGTTCCCTATTGAGTATGATTCTCAGTTTCAACTATATTAACAACTTCATCCAGACTTGTGTCTGCCTTTAACTATTTTTTTAATATAGTGTAGAGTTTCATCTCTGGCAATTATTGCTACTTATGCATAGAGTTATCTTACTGATTGTCACTTTCCTGAAACTGTCATTTAAAAGATATTAGCTATAAAGATTGAAATTCAGTTCTGTGTAGATTAAGAACCTCTATTTTATTCTCTTTGTCTCTTCCCTTTTTCTCCTTTCATCACATACTGATAATAGTTGGCAACAAGTGGCATGTAATAATCCATTAAAATCTCAGTAATTCACATCTAAGCTTAATACAGAAGACATGCAAGACATGTCCTGTCTGTTTCAATATAGCTTTCATTTTGATTTATTAAAAAGCATTTTTTCCACCAGCAGTTTCTTGCTTCCGTAAAAGTGTGTCTTTCCTCTTGCTAATGAATTTAACATTTGCTGCTGCTGGAGACAATCAATAGTATTGTGTCCTGTGCATTTCTACCCAATAAACGGAATAGCTCTGGTCTCCCATCTCCAGTGAGTTTTCAGATCTAGAGTCATATCAAGATGCAAACAATTATTTGCCATTTATGAGTCTATTCTTCTTATGTTATCATCACCTAGAAATAACAATCCGGGCATGGATAGAACACCAATCCTTGCTTAGAATTTTCCTGACGACTCTTTTCCTTGGGGCTCAGTATTTCTTGTCTTTTGTATAATTCATTTCTAGGGCATCTGATAGCCTGTAGCTCATCCTTTGTTTATTTTATACTTCAGCTGCTTCAGTACATAATAATAGCTGCTACCAGAATATAGAGCAGCTGAAGAAAAGCTTGCACTTGACTCTGGATAGCAGTGGTACTTAAAGGTTCTGTACAGAGACATTCACTGAGAAGCCTGACCTTCAGCAGTTGTAAAGTTAATTGCCTGCAAGTTCCTCATTTATATACGTGAATTAAGTAGCTTAGTAGTTACCTATTAGATGTTAACCAAGTGCTTCATGTGTAGCTATTTAATAAAAGATTTATTAAAGTCTTGTTTTATTAT